AATCTACGCTCACATCCACGATGAATGAACTTTTCTATAAGATGAAATCTAAATTGATAATTTTTAATATAATCATGATAAGTCAAATTGTATAGATATTTTAGAAAACCCAACATATTTATGTGATACCTTCGCTACAGAAAAATTACCAATTGGAAAACTTTTTTCTTGCTGCTCATATGAACATAGACTTCAAAGGGTTATTTTTGTTACAAAAAGAATATTTTTAAAAAATCGAGTTAAATAATTGCTATATAATATATGAACAAACAACAAGTGTTTTAAGATGGTCAAATATAAATATAAAAGTTGAAGTGTAAAGCACAATATTCTAATTTTTTTTTTGTTGAGACTTATCAGACTGTGAGCAAAGGCAGGAGTGAATATGATTGAAATTATTCTCGTCAGTCACATCCTCACTCATCCAGCCAGAATCTTACTCTAGCAACAATCTATGAAGTCATGACAATTGTTAAAAAGTCTACTATTGTTTTTATTTTAATAATAAAGTTTTTAAGCTACAAAAATTGTCGCTTCATAATTGAATTCCTCGATTTTTTATGTCAATAAACATACATATCATTCATCAAGTGATTTGTTTTTCCTAATATTATATTATTTCAATATTTGTTAAGTAAAATTACCAAATACACTCGGAATATTTTCTCATTGCGACTTAATAGTAACATTTTTCAAAAAAGCTCCTATGTAATCAGAAAGTATCGAGAAGCATTATCGGTGTACTAAAAATAGACAAAATAACTGTTTAACTTTAAAAAGAAAACATAACAGAAAAGTGTAAAGTAAGATTCTCATTTGCATTGTTACGGTAAAAATAAAATATCAAATCTAACTGATAAGGTTTTTCATGTTTCATTTGAACAGATTTATAATGATGGTACTAATATAATTAGGCAATTTTTTTTAGAAATTCGACTATTGAATTTGTTGTGTACTATAAAAGGAAAATTGCGTCATTTGTCAAATATCTGATTCATTAGATCAGAAGTATCTTACATTCCAGATTGAATATCATATTGACTTAAATGAATGTTGAATATGAAATTAAATTCATTCAAACTGAAAGCGAGTGAAATATTCGTTAGTTTACAATGGAACTTAATATTGAATTTGTAGCAATATATGCGACCTAAGTAGTCATTGTAACAAATACCATCGTTCGATACCGACTGCGAAATCAAAATATTCGTTTCAAATCAAGTTTTGCATATTATTGTACAGCCTTAAATATGATACTAATCTCGATGAATTTAGTAATAAATGTTGACATTGCTATCGTTCAATTTAGTTTTTCTCTGACATTAGCTTACATAGGTCTCATGATTATTGTAATAGTTAATGTTTGAAACATTATAGTTACAGAATCACTTTCAAAGCTATTATCTCTAATCGAATATATTCGAGTAAAAATAAATCCAAATGTATCAAGTCTACTGATCTCAAAGCTCGTGAGACGAAACTTTTTACGAGTAAAATAGGAAAACACTACCATATCATCATTGTCAATGATATGAAATATTTTATCTAGCAGAAGTGCGAAAATTCTACCTTGAGAGAAACATTTTAAAAAGATGTATTCTTTTTTGTTTTTTAAACTTTATTTATGGACTAAAGTAAATCGTTAATGAATTTCTGAATTCAATAATTAGCTATAGGTCGCCGAAAAAAACCAAATGGTTACACTCAATTTAAACTCATTAAATTCTGACTTATGAGTATTGTTTTAATTTGAAAGAGAACAAAGAAAAACAACAAACAATTGTAAAGTCAAAAACTAAAAAATATATAAACGTGGTCCCTATGTGTTAAGTATTACGATGTTTAAATTATTTTCACAAAAAACGTAACTAAACTCAAACTAATATTATAATATTTGAATAAATTGTCAAACTACTCTAATCAGTAGAGTTAAGCGACAGTATTTGTTTGCATCTTTACGTTAATTATCAATGCTCAGCCCAGTCAAAGATTCATAAATAATTGGTTTTCTTACAACTACATAATACTTTCAATATCTTTATTTATATATTTATATATAATATACAAATCACTTTTGTAAAACAAAAAATACTCACAAAATTAAAATGGCAAGACTGTAAAAACACCATCTGACACAGAATTATATACATTAAAAAAAAAGAATGACTTTTCATTTATACATATATATATATGACAATGTATCTTAACAATTGACAATCCATGGATATGTTTCCATTAAAAGAATATATTTAACAGCTTCAAAAACATCAAGTTTAATTGTTGTTGGTAATTTCCATGGATTTTTACCATCAAGCTTTTGTTTATTTGGTTCATAAACACCTGTACATACTAAAATTGATTCACATGATTTTGCACTTAAATATTTTGAATCAGATAATAAACTATAACCACTAATACTTGTTCGTACATTCATAGATTGTTGTAATAAATAATTATACATATTTGCACCAACAATATCAACATCTGGATTATCTCCAATAAAATAAATTTTTTCAATTTTTGGTTGACCATTAGTTAATGCTATTTGATTAGCTATTGTTTCAGCATATTGATATGAAATTTCAAATGGTTTACCAACAAATGCTGTATATTTAAGATCATTTCCACTTATACTCTATATAGAAATGAAAAATAAAAGTTCATAGAATATTTTCTATAGATGAAAAAATGATTTACTTTATATAATGTTTCTAAACATGTAAGAAAAGCACCATGACCAAAACGTGGTAAATCTGCAGCAGCTTTAAATACAAGATCTCTGTTACAAGCAATAATAGGTATATGATCATGTTTAGTATTTGAATCATCTGGTACAATAGCAGGATTACCATCAGTTAAAAGAAGATCAATAATAACTTGTAATGATCTTTCCCATTGAATGGGTTCACCAAGTAAAACAATAGCTTTAAAAAAAAAGACAAAAATTAAAACATTGATAAGAGGAACAAAATGAGTATTTACCATCAATAGGACGAAAATTCTCATCATGAACAAGACCTTGAGTACTAATCATTTCACTCTAAAATACCCATGAAATACAAATAAATAGAAATTTGTTATTTTTTCTTTTGTTACTTACTAATCTAACTCGATTCATATGATTAACCATATCTAATTCTGGAAATGCTTCACAAACTTTTTCAATTGTTGTTATGCTTTTAAAACCGATCCTATTTAAAACAAATTGAATAAATAAGCATTAAAAATAATAAATTAAAATCTATACATTCGAGCAATGTCTTCAGCTTGACCTTGTCCAGAAACAAGAACATGTTTAGTATGAAAATTAGTTAATGTACACATTGGTGTTTGAGCAAGAACAACTTGTTCAGGATGAATCTGTATTTAAATATATGTGTATTTAAAAAATCGAACGAAAAACATTAGAAAGATAAACTTACAGTTACTCCAAGTACAGCTGATAATTGTTTAGCTTTATCTGATTCGAGCATACATGTATTTGAAACAAATACAACAGGTACATTGAGTTGAATCAATGTTTGAATTGCTGGTTTAGCAACTGTTATGAAATTTGGACCTTTTGTAATAACACCATCAATGTCAAAGAAACAGGCAAAGTTTGGCTATTAAAAGAAATATGTATTAATAAAAATAAATATATAAATTCAAATATTTATCTTACTGTTTTCATGATAGAGATGGCTAGTAGCAATAAACACTCGCTAGTTTTATTTGAAGAAACAATTTTATAATAGACAATTTTTTTTCTGAGTAAAACTATGCAGATCGGCAGTATTTATATACCGGCATCGATAATGGAAAACAGAGGCACGAATGTGGTCAGCCTGTGATATCATGTCTTACATATTACACTTCGTTGTTTAATTTTGTTCATGTGACCAGTTTGTATTGTTCTTTAGTCAGATGATATATGTGTTCTTGCTCAGAACATACACTCACTAAATGATATTATTCTGTTACTGATACATTCTTCTCTTCTCGTTCGTGCTAGAATGCCATGATATTAGGAGTGAGAATAGAGAGATAAAGAACAAAGTACGTCGTTTTTCTTTTTCTATTCTGTTGGAAGACGAAGTCAAGGACGAATTAAGTACGTTGTTCTATTTACTCATAAAGGCTGCGTGTGCAAATAATATCGTAAGTTTATTTCTATAAAAATGTACTAAAAACACAAGAAATTCCAAAGATTAATAACCACACCTTCAGTAGATGTTGAACTCATGCCAACAAATAAGTTGATTTTATTACATGAATTTCATTGTCGCATGAGCGTTCTAGAAACGAGAACAAAGTCATACAATAGATTTAACTGTTATTTTCTCTCCTTTTTACTTGACCTTGTTATATTGTATACTTTTGTATACAGTGTAATTCATATGAATATTTGTCTCATTAGTCTGTATATTTTAATAACTATGAAATATTTCTTTCTTGAGAATGGATAGCTTCGATATTCAAATATTGTCGATCTCTTGTTTTTTTGTTGTCTTGATCATAATCAAATGTTGCACAAAATAACATTATATCTATAAAAGATTATTAATCATATATTGTACTTATGTTCATATTCAAAAGTCTCTATCCATTTGTAATAATGAACTATGCCTTCATTAAATTCAATTTTTTAATAGTGTGCTACATAGTTTTTCAAACAAAAGAGATAGAAACTGATTCTTTTTTGTTTTCGTATTTTTAAATCTAAGAAGTTGTTCATAAAGAATATTCAACAGAGATGGACTTGATACTACTCTGTCATTTTGAAACCCATACCAACACGGAATTGACGAGTGTTGGTATTATTACATCTGTGAATAATGCTATTTGACGTAGTCAGCTTTCGAAACAATGCTTTATTAAATCTCCTCTATGAGATAATAAATGGTTTAAACATCGAAAAAAAATCTAAACGACCATTAATTCACAATAAAATCAATTTATTTTCATTCTCAAATAAATGTCATAGATAGGTTTTTTTTAGGAAGCAATCACTTCTAAATATGCTGAAATCCATCTTAATTTACCATGGATCAAACAGCTCGGATACACTAACACTCCAGTACTTAGTTATTTATGAATCTGATTTATCTAAAAATGATGATGAAACACTTATTGATTATGATTTTAAACGAGAAATGCTTGTGTAAATTAATTAAAACAAAAACGAATACAACTATTAATTTTATGTATCTTCTAGCTATCCTCAAGTTCAATCTACTGTTCTCGAAGGTATTTTGCGTTTAGAAACGGAAAAAATTTCAATAAAACCACTTGATAATTATTTTGCTCTAGTAATCACATCAGAAAAACATATGATAAAAGTAAAAATAAATTTTCTTTTAAAATTATAAAAATATGGTTCTTTTTAGATTGGAGAATATTTAGTTAATTATAAATCTGATATTGAAAAACATGAACAAAGATGATATGGTAACAAGGTTCAACAAGAAGTTGTACTAAAATGACAAGAAAATAAATCAAAACTACTTAAAACAATGAAAAAAAAGTTCGAAAAGATAAAATATCAACTAAAAAAGACATTTGGAAATAAGTTTTATCAGTTTAATATAGAAAAAACCAAGGTGGTCATGTGCAAGAATTACATCACATTCGTACCCTCAGGTGTTTTTTCAAGA